AGGAGGAGGAGGGGGAGGAGGAGGAAGAAGATGACGATGATGGAGTAGAGGAGGAAGGAGGAGGAGGAAGATGGCGATGGAAGATGGCGATAGGGAGGAGGAGGAGGAGGAGGAAGATGGCGATGAGGAGTAGGAGGAGGAATTAGAGGATGGCGAGGGGAGGAAGAGGAGGAGGAGGAGGAGAAGGGGGAGAAAGATCGGCTATGGGAGGAGGAGGAGGAGGAGGAGGAGGAGGAAGAAGATGGCAATTGGGAAAAGGAGGATGAGGAAGATGGCGATGGGGAGGAGGAGGATGGCGATGGGGAGGAGGAGGAAGACGACCCACCCCAGTGTCGTCTTCCTCCTCCTCCTCCTCCTCCTCCTCCTCAGAGACTGGCCACCTAAGAGGGATTGAGAGAAAAAGAGAGATTGACAAGTGGTGATTGTTTGTGCGACTGCGTGTGCATGTGTGGGAGGTAGACCACATCAGCAAGTGCGACATCAGCTGTCAACGCAGCCGCCAAATCGTCAACATGACAAGTGCAGATGGTTGTCCCGGTGTTGGGACCGGTGGGTCCCGAGACAAGTCCTGACCCTTGAGAGATGATATATGGCAGAATTGTGCACAACAGAGAAAACCAGAGGCAAGAGAGATAGAAAGGATGGAAGGCCAAAAGCAGAATTGTCGGCGCCTGGGGACCCAGAGAATACCCTGGGCCGTCGGAACCGTTGGACCAAGAAGGGACTAGCAGAATGGCAAGCGGCGAAGGGCCGCAGAAAAATAGTAAAGGCGGCCCTTCTTCCCGAAAGGAGGAGGACCGCCGGGGAAAATAATGCTCTGGGCTGCGTGCCGCAGGAAGAGAAGAGTCGAGGAGGTCGAGAAAAATAATAAGTGAGGCACCGACACGTGAGAACGTAGCCCGGGTCAAGGGAGCCACTAGGATGTGGCATAGAAAGAGCCGAAGGGCCACAAACCAAGTAAAGGGCTGCAATCGGAGAGACCGGCATGCGCGGGACATAGAAAGAGACTAGGAATGAGGCGGTGATGGAGAAGAAAGTGCCAGAAGAAACCAGGACATCGCGAGGAAAGGTGTCGAGGACCATAGGGGACTAAGTAAAAATAATGGCATTTTGGGGCCAAGTAGTGGTGGGACCACCGGCGGGACAAGTGCCGGCAGGACCACTGGCGGGACAAGTGGCGGGGACTAGCGCGGGACAAGTGGCGGGGACTTGTGATGTCCCAAGGCGAAGTTATGAAGGGCCGTAAGAGAAGGATGCCCAAAAGCAGACATGCTGTCAAGATCGAGATCTAGACGGCCAAGAATATTAGCACTACTAGTGGAGGCGAACGGGAGGACTAAAACAGAAAGGAAAGCAAAAGAAAAGCAAGAGAGGAGGCATGGCAGCAATCCGTAATATCTCGGATTAGCTACCTTGAAGAAAATAGAGCCTAGAGAGGCTCAATGTGAAAAATAGGCTCCCGGGAGAAAATAAGAGCAAAAGGGACCACAATGTGGAAAGTAGAGAGGCAAGAGGAGGCTCCCATGGGCATGGTGGAGCCTCAATTGCAGTCCGAGATATAACGGACTGCACCTTGGGCATAGGAAGGGCGAAATTTAAAAGGGAGGGCCCAGAAAAGGCCTTAACGGTTACTTGACACTTGGCATAATAGAAAAGAAAAAGAAAAAGAAAAAAAAAGTGGAAGAATAAGACAAAAGGAGTGAGAGGGAGTGAGTGAGTTGACCGTCAGTAGGGACTGCCACAAGTAGGGACTAGCAGGTCCCTACTGTCCGAAAACGGAGGAAAAAGAAAAGAAAAGAACGGAGAAAAAAACCTTAACAATAAAAAACGGTTACTCGGGGAGATACATTCATGACTAGATACATTCTGGGATATGACGGTTGCAAAGGACCTTGATTTTCTCTTGATTTTGCAGAGAAAATCAAGAAAAATCAAGGCCCCATGCAATCGAGATACAACGGATTACATAGGGGAGGAAAAATACATGTTTTAGATGCATCCGGAGCGAATATTGAGTCCGGATGCGCTTGGGAGTTGGCGTTACGTTTTGTTTCAATATGAGGCTTGTTGTGGGGTCATGAGGCTAGGGAAAAGGCCATTATGGCAGTCCTAGAAATAATGGACTGCATGGGGATGCCTAGGCCAAAAGGGAAAGGGCCTTGGCTTGCCCAAGACACTAGAAAAAAAATGTCTTGGGTTTGGGCAAAATGAAGACGGTAAATGGGGGTTGCGAGATGGTGGATCTCACGGCCTAGAATATTCGCGGCACTTGAGACCCATGAGAAGGAAGGGATTGGGGCTGTCGAGGATGAGGGAGCCCCAAATAAAATAAGACTTCATCGGAAAGGATGCCGGGGCCTAA